AGTTTCGACATGATACAAATCGAAATTATGATTATATTAGACAAAGGGACAAATATAGATATTCTGAACAACTACTTGAATAGCATTTATAATAGAAAATTTAATTCCTTAATATCCTTAACTATTCTTTAAATTTAAATTTAGTCCCTTAAATTTAATATAATATAGTAATATATATGAATAATCAAATGATTATATCGGTAGCTTAATAAAAAGGTTTAATTAATATAGAAATTTACATCCCATTTGTCTGTAAAAAGTGTATAATATAATACAGTTTTACAAAATAATAAACCGCAAAAGCATATCTTATTGCAATTCCATTAATTTTCAATATTACTGTGATTTCTTTCATAATGTAACACTTTTGCATTATAAAAAATATAAAAAAGTTAGTTTATTATTTAATTCTTAAATGTACATAGTTTTTGGAGTTCATGTCCTAAAAGATTAATATCTTCCTTTAAATTTAAGAAACCAACTACTGAACAGCATATTGTTTCATGGATAATTATTTATTACAGAGAAATTTATTTGTTCTTTTAGACCCTAAAAAATGTTATAATGTATCCAAGTGACACATAGCATAACCAATAAACGAGTATAATATTGAGATTTTTATCATTCAGCTATGCAGCAGAATATTAAAAAAGAAAATTTGAAAGATACGTTACCACTTGTATTATTCATAAGAAATGAAACGAAGATAACTTACCATATAATTTATACACAAGGGAATAATGTGCAAATAGGCGGCATGAAATCGCTATCAGCATTTCCACTGAGTGCCAGTTAATTCATTCGTGAAATAGGTAGAGTGACATCGTATTTTGTGCATATAAATACTATATGTATCTATATCTAGGTATTTAATCTAATAAATGGTCTGTAAGGTGATGAAAACTATGATTAAAATCTAAGAATTATTGATGATTTGTTCTATTAGTACTTTTACCTAACTGTCAAAGAAAGAAGGGAGGGAAGATTGTACGTATAACATATTTAGTTAGACGCATTTTAATGACTAAAGATTTAATACTAATTAAAAAATAATTTTTAGTTTCATCATAATTGTGGGAGTAAGATGACGACATCCTTACTATTTACTAACATTATTAACGTAGAAGTGTGCTTCTTTTATTTTTGTCAATGATATTAAATTAGACATATATAGAGTACCGATTTAATACAGAGAAGATCTAGGTTGTTTTTATTTCAATTATTTAAAATGTCTAATAATGTCGGATAAAGTCGCGGACTCCTTTAATAAAAAATATATAAATATATAAATACGGTATCAAAAATTTCTGAAATTGTTTAGTTTGATTTTTTTTTTATTTTATTATATCCACTCCTTAATGCTTCGTCTGACAGGATGTAATAACCGAAGCCAAAAAATTAATCATTCCTCTTTATTTGTCTACTAGTTATGTCTCACGACTTTATCCGCTAAACTCACTATATAATCTATGTCTAGCTGTGTCCAAAATTCCAAATTTGGAGTTGCTTAAGCGCAATTGAGGCACAAATATCCAAGTTTTCGCCTTCTTAAAACTAACAGGAAAAACAATTATTAGGACGTCCAAAACACTTTTTAAGTGCGGTCATTCCTGAATACCAAATTAAATTAAAATAAAAAATATTTTTATAGATAAAAAAGACAGTGTGTATAAATAAATCCATCTACAACTTCTCATAAATACAACACTCCCTCTCATTTCTACTCGTAATACACCTATATTATAAGGATTATTTATTCTTATACCTATATTAAGATAAATGGTTACATTGCAACTGCCCTTTAAAGTAAAAAAACACAACAATAACAAAAAACAACAATACTGGTAAATCTTCTTAAAGTGATTGCATATTTTAATATTTATTATGGTTAAAGATCTTCGAAGCAGCCTGAAACCCATTTCGCTCTCATACTACGTCATTGGAGTCTTCATTATTTATATTTTAGTATTATCTAAATATCTTATGATGACATTTTTAGAGATGGTACATCACTTTATTTGAAATTTTATTAAGTTTTCGATTTGGAAAGGAACTTGGATTGAGCTAAGTTCTCTACTAAATAGATCTGTACACAGTTAAAAAAATGGTAGTGAATTCGTGACGAGTTCGTTACGATGGATCATCGCAGACAAAATTTTATTTAAAAAATTTAGGCACCTACTTTCTTATAATTTAAATGTTCACAGTACATTTGTTTACATGTTTTTGGTGACATATTAATATTTTTTAAATATTGTAATAGGTAGATATATAGTACTATGTATTTTAAAATTTAATGTACACTTAAAACTGGATTACTTAGAACAGAGAAGAAGGTAATATTATTATTACCATCATGTCTTTTGTAAGTCACCTTGTAAAATAAAAATTGTTTCAAGAAGATGCTTTTATCAAGTCGCCTAAGGCGCAATGAGGGAAGCTATTTAAATTTATAAATCTAAGAAAAAATAACTCGCTGATGTACTTTCAAGCTCGAGACCAAATGTTATGATTAAGTTATGAAACAAAAAATTCACAAAGTTGTTTCCAACAATCTTACATAAATTATAATAATAAGAAAGATGATAAATAACCATTAACTCAGCACCGATGGGCCGGATGTTTGCCGCGGGTGAATATTCTCTATTTCGACGTGCCGAAACTGGTTACTTACTGAAATTTAATAATTTCTGTCTTCCGAATTTGAAAAGGATGGTTTATATTGAAGGATTAAATGTTCGTCTGTGTCAATATGATAAGCGCTGAGAAAGGCCTTGATTCTGACGCAAATGTTAAATGCAAACAAAGAACAAAGGCGTTGGCGAGATTGGTCAGATTTCATCGGTGGCAGTAGAAATTTACTGCGTTCGCTTCGATCTCATCCCGAAAGGCTGTAAGGTTTCAAATTGTTACTTTATCTAACTTTATGTCTGTCACATGATTGAACATAAATTCATTGAATCCAATTATGTGCCGGATCAGAATTCAATTTTTGATTTTATTCACATTTATTAAGTGTCGAATAGGAAAATCCTATAAAGAAATACGAGTATAAGGAGAATAATAGACGCCGATGTAAGGTGTAAATAGATATAGATAAGTGACAAGTGATTGATAAAATTACATTATGCATTGCTTTAGATGAAATCATAAAATCTGTATGAATGTTGAGTATTTCAAAGTGATTACATGTCGGTATAACTGAAAAAGTTTTCTCGTTGAAAATGGGTAGAAATATAAAAAAAATTTTTCCCCTTTCATGTAAACTGCGCAGCCAAGACGAAAAACAAGATCGATTTAAAGATTCAACATTATTTCATATTTCAATACTGCCATGTTCTTTGAAGAAAGTTGTTTAGTTTCATAAATTCTGTTGTTGTGTTTCGAATACTCGTATTTACTATTTCCATTACACTCTATATTGTACCTAATTTAAATCTGGAAAAAGCTACGACGTAAATATACTTACATATTTTGCTACGGATTTGATAGATTTGTTTCGCACCAGCTGGGGTAACTTAATCGATGTTAGTGTTGGCGACCTTATTTTAATTTCATCAAGTTTTTCTATTTAAAGGAGCATCTGTAAATTTTCTTTGAAATTATTCCTAGAAGAATTAAACAGGATCTTCTATATAAATGTATTTAAGCGAGAATTCGTGGTAAATCTTAATAATTTATTAATTAATTTTAAAATAGGACAGTCTTAAGTCTTATTAAATCATTTGTTGTAAATAATATTTTATTACGTAACAACGTTTAAAGGAAATGTTCGATACTAAGGCAGATAACATTTGCATTTTTTCTATTTCATAGAGATCATTATACGCAAAATATGGTCAATTCAGTGGTACTAGTTAACTAAATATCAATTTATACATTACTATACTTGTATGGTTTTAACAATTTTTATTTCTTGACTAATATTTTGACCGTAAGTAAGTGTAGGTAGGATTATGACATTAATATTACTATATTTAATTTTTACTATCAGCGTAGCTAGTTACTATTTTTATTTCTCCCCAAGTAATATATAAGAAAATTTTTTCTTTAAAATTTTTTTAAAAGTCTGATTACTATAGAAAAATCGCTTCTAAAAGTATTTTGACAATGCCAGTTATCTCCGGCTTTGTGGCCGAGTTAATACTGCATCGTAAATATGTATTTATTTGCTATATTGACATACTAAATAGCAACTTGATTAATGAAACTAAATTTCAAATGCGACATCGAGATTCCTAAAAACAACTACATCGCCAATGTTAAAAGTATCGACCAAGCGTGCGAATTCCCGTTCTTCCTTACTTCTTCGATTTTTATTCTGTGTAAACGTGCTAAAAGCATATACTTTTATTGCTTGTCTGCATTTGTGAACAATTTTGTACGTTGTTCTTGCTTTTTTCCTTTAGTTTAAACCTACTTGGTTCTAGCTAGCTTTTGTTTTGTATTTTTCGTTATTTTGCTCTAATCTTAGTTTAAACTATCTATATCTAACTTTGCATTTTCTTAACCGCTATTTAAAACTACCGATATGTGAATATCCTTTTGAGAGTGAGAGGGATGTTAGAACTAGCGGTCCTGTCAGTTTCACTTTCATGCGGTCTCCTCTGGAAACCGTAGTTGTTAATTTCTGGTGAAGTCATAGGCTGCCTGACCTTAATTCATCCTCATTTACTATTGCCATCATTCCCTGATACACTACCACTGTATACCAATACTGTAAATGGGTTTAGAATTATAATAATATTTTTATTCCATGAAAAAAGATAAAAATATTTCTTTTTTATGTGAAATACAGCTATCTAATTAGTTGTCTATACTAGTCGTAGCATATTATGTTCAAATTGTAATAGAAAAAGTAAGTTTTGTAACTCTGTAGTGTTTCGAGACCAAAAAAAAATCATAAAGAAATTCTTATGTGACCAATCACAAAAAGCATACATCTCAGGACTATGTTCAGTTTGCGATTCACTTTAACCCAGTTTATTTTTCTTTTTTAGGTACCATGAAAGTCAAGAATGGAGCTAGTGATGTGCAAGTGTAGGTGGCGAACTAGCTATAGTTAGATTGATGTGTGTTCTGGGACTGATCGTAAGCTGCCGAAGTTGCAAGACAAATAAGTGAAGTGACTTATATGAGACAAGTTTGGACTAACACAAAACAAGTGGCATGGAGTTAATACCATCGACTGGAGGCCGCATATATGTGGCATTCTTTGCAACTATCTTCTGGGGAATGGGTGAGTTAATTCATATTGTACAACAAATATATACCAAATATATAGTACGAAATACAGCTAAAAATATCTATTTGGTAAATATTTACAAACAATATACTATTAATATTAATATAAATAAATTTTAATATAATATAATGTTATATAGCCAACAATAAAACCGTAAAACATTAATTTAATCTTGGGATGGCGGTAGTGGTATTTCTTTGTCAAATTAGATAATGTGGCATACATATATATATTCTATATAAAAAATAAATAAAAATTTACTTTTAATAATAAGAGGTTATCAAACCTTAAAACCCTAAACACATAACTATAATTAGATCTTTATAGTGAACATTCGATCATTTGGCCAAATTAATAAATGTTCTTTCGAAACCATAAAATCCTTAATAAACTGACTAATTTCATTAAAATTGATGAAAATTAGACAAAATATATAAATTATTTTGATATATAGATGGTTTTTACTATACAATACCTTCCAAGTACTGATTAAATTAATTACAAGTAGATTTTATCATAATAAATATTTTAAAAAGGAAATGTATCAGTTTTTGTTTTACGATATTGATTTATTATGATTACGATAGTTGGTAAATATGTTTTTACGTTTGACACTCAATTTCGTTTAAATAGCTAAATGGGTTTGATTGAAATTTGGTACACAAGTAGGTTATATAGCATATGTTATAACACATAGACTTTATATATTAATACGGGAGGGAAAAGCTGAAAGAAATAGTAAATATATAATAAGCTGAAAGAAATAAAAAGGAATATACATTTTAAAAGTAATGCAGCTTGCTAGCTCAACCTAAGTATTGTTCGCGTAGATTGAAATAAAAATATCCTATCTATTGATATGTTATATCAAGAAATTATTAATTTCCATAAATACCTATATCCATCACGTTTCGTTCAAAATAAAAAGCATAAAGATATATAGGCATGACTGAGTACCTATATCCAGATATATATTTATATATAGGTACAAACATCTTTATATATTTTCCCATTTATGATATCAATGGCGTTCAATCAGTTCTATTAGCAGCGTTGTTGTTAATAAAACAGGCGTATTTTGTATCATAACCAATGAAGGCACAAAATAAGCATTGAAATTCGATATCCGTCGTAGTATTGTAAGCTACAGTAAATATTGCTCAGTTATTATTGTTAAATGGTGTTTTGTATACATTTTATTAATAGGTAGGTATTAAATATCTTACTAATATAATAAAATTGTAACTAGACGATGTTTGTGCATAGGAGATATTAAAGAAAAATCGCTATGATTGGTTTTAATAAGAGTTGGTTTTCTTGTTCGCCCAAAACTATAATTTTTAGAATGTTTATATGTCTGCATGTGTATTTGTTCCGTGTATATATATCCACAAAAATACTGTATTATATTTAATGCAGTTTTACAGTTGTACTTCTCAAGGAATAATATAATAAAAAGGAATAATAACCTTTGACTTTTTTTATCTTATTAGACCAATCTTTAATAATACTGTAAATATGAGAGTAAATTTATTTGTTTTTTATTTTGACATTTTAACTCAACCAATTGTAAATGAAAATTGTAATGAAATTTCGTACATATTGTACAAGGATAATAGCTACTTTTTATCTCAGGCTACACTCGTATGTCTAGATTTTGCACAAACAGCCACATCTCGTGTCGTACATGTATTAATATACAGTATAGTAAAGAAGAGGCCTATGTTCAGCAATGAACAGTTAAGGGCTGACATGATGATATGATGATATGATGATCGTATCAGGAAAAATTACAATATCGAATGTATTAATAATAAAAGTGTTGATTTTTCGTAGCTATTTAAAATAAACATCAGATATATACTTAAAAAACAAGATTTGTTTAAATACCTATATAATTTTATAATAATTTTTGATGATGGTAAATATTCCTTTTTATACAAAATTAAATAAAATTATTCCACGAAGTACGGCTTTTATCTTCAAAGGATTCTATTTTTTATACTTTCCGCACTTTTAAAATTGTATAATTTGCTTGTGCCTTTTATGAAAAATCCTTTGCTCTGACTACTACAAAACGTTAATTTTATATTTACTCATAAATGGTTTAGAAATTACAGTTTATTAATAAATAATATTACAAAGTGTTTATTGAAATGAAACTTCTTTATAGAAAGATAAAATTCATGAAACATTGGTAACAACTTTCCACATTTATTACTTTTCACTCTAGTTTTAATTGTTCTAATAATTTAGAGCACATTCAGATTTTGAGATTAAAAAACTGATAACATAATATGGAATTACTTATTTTTTTCACATGAACTTATGAATAAATTATTTAGGAAAAAGATTATTTTACTAAAATGTCATGTCAGTTATGATAAAGCGAAACTGCCTTCAAATATTAATTTGAAAACAATCTGTGCTGGTCTCTCTCAGTATCAACATATACTTTCCAATCGACCTCAAAAAGAAAGAGATTCACAATTTGGTTGTTTTTTTTTATGTATGTTACTTCATAATTTCGTTAGTTCTTTTGAAAAATTATTATTTTATCTGAAAGGATAATTTACAGATTAGTTTTATAGAAATTTTATGAAGATTGGTCCATGAGTTTAGTTTTTAAACTAAAATAACTGGTTTTGTCACCATTAAAGTCGGATCTTTTTGTGGTATACAACATTTTTTAATCGTTTGTAGCGAGTGGTTAATATATGTATGTGTCTCTTTTATAAATTAAATGATATTTTTTATGTGTTCGAGATTGTTACGTGATATCTGAAAAAAAATCTCAACATTAGTTTTAAATTGACTCTGACAAACATACAAATAAAAAAACATACAAACAAACAGGTTTTTGTATTTTATGCACGAAAAATTATTAATTCACTCTTGCGCCACCTGCCCATTTCTATCTGTTCTCCTTTAACCAAAGGTTGTCTGTAAGAGATTGCCCTAGCGATAAGACCGCCTTTTGTACCTTTATGTGTATATTTTAATCTGTATTTTTGTTACTGTATTTCACTTGAATTATTCACGTGTCATTGTATATTTTTATTTATGGTGCAATAAAGAGTTAAATAAATAAACAAATCTATTTTTCTACACAAAACTAACAACTTCGGTCATGAAGAAATAAACAGAGGAATTGAAAATCACCTACTCTTTCATTTTCCGTTGTGCGTATAATTGTTGTATTTACTTATTATGTTTAACGCCAACTCCAGATCAAGGTGTTTCTAATTTGATAAATAATCGGTAGTTTCACAGATTTTTGTTTGTTTTTTATTAATTATAAATTTTATTTATAAAAGAGATATGAAAAATAGAAAAAAAAAATTATGTCATGTCACAACATAAAGGCGATTTTGGTAATATTATTTTCTACGATTATGAAATACGAAAGATTTTATATAGCGTACATTATGTTATAACAGTAGATAATTGCATAAGATTTTTAGGGCATTACTTATCATTCGGTTGGGTGAAGTTTATTCATTCCGTAGTCGTGCGGTACCGGTATAGAATCGGCCACCCCTTTCTTTCCCATGGGTGTTGTAGGAGGCGACTAAGGGGACTTAATGGTCGAGGAATGGACAGCAGCGGCCCACTTTAAACATATATATTATATAGCAAAGCCTATCCGCCTGGTGGTTGCCAAACCGCCTAACACGCATGGCAACCACTGGCAAAACTCCCTTATGGGGGAGGTCTACGTTTAGCAGCGGACAGTTAACGGCTGATATTATGATGATGATTCACCCCATATGTATTTTAGCTTAAGAGCTAAAATACATATGGGGTAATAATGGGGTTTGAAGCATACTCACAGGGTAGTCAAATAATAAATATTATCAATAATATGTACATACAAAAAGATTACAGTTAGTATAGGGCTTATTGAATAATTTACCAGAGGGAGACTTTGTACAAAAGTCGATTGCTTGGGTACCTCTGTCCCATTCGTGTTTCTACCGTGAAGCACTGCTCATGTCTATAGGCGACTGTTACCACATTCCATCAGGTGGATCGTCAGCTTGTTTGCCATTCTAAGTTGTATAAAAAAAAAAATAAGAAGTAGATCTCTTGCTTTATATTTAATTAAAACATTTTTTTTCTTGATAGACCGCAGTTATTCTAGATTGATTAAATTTGCCTTTTAGACAGTCAACGAGGTATGTGAGTGTATATTGCTATCAAGAATACCATCTATTTTCATACAAACATACAAATTCAAAAAAGGCTTGGCAAAAAATCAACCATAAAAAAAAACCAAGTAAGACATCGACCACCGTGATGGCGCTTTTATTCTATCATAAAATTATAGCTACCCTTTTGGTTGGCCACATTCAAGTCGTATTTTTTATATGGCCTACTAATCATATAAAATAGTTATTTTTTTACTAGTCCTCTGACATTAATTAATATTTTATTAACAATAAAATGTAAAAATAGTAGAATATATTTTACTTTACTCTGATTTAATATAAGAAATTGACTTGAAATGTTATTCGAGAGATTTATTTGAATTTCTAATAAAAGAATATTTAACTAAATGGAATCAATTAATTTTTATAAAAAAATAATTACTGTCTTTAGATATTAAGTCAAAAAGATACCTCAACGTTGTTGAATTTGAGAGAGAGATTAAGGGTGTAATCTCAATATTAAGGTAGGTAAATATAAATATCAATCGCTCCGGAAAATTTGCCTTCATCATTTCTGCCTGAAAAAATATCTACCGTAGATATAAATGGATATTATTATTACGAAAAGCAGACCCTCTAGTATCAGTAGCAGTCTTATCCGAGCCAAGGTGAGGAAGCGGCGCTGCTCCTTTAAATATCAATTGCGATTGTGCCTCCTTTGTGCTACGACCTTTTCTGTGTTTCAATCAAATAATGAATCTTCGAAACAGGCCTATATCTTAAAAGGAATGTTTTTGCACAAATGCCGGGACCGTGATATCGCTAGCAATAAGGGAATATTGA